CGTCACTTCCGCCCCTGCCGCAAGCCGACGCCGGAAGGGGCGACCCCGCGGGGGGCGTGGCCTCTGTGCGGCGCGGGCGGCGGCGATGGCGGAGCCGCGGGTGCGGCCGGGCGGGCCCGGGGCGGCTTCGGGGGGCTCGGAGGGGCTCTGAGGGGACCCTGAGGGCTTTGGGGGGGCTCCGAGGGCACCGGGGAGGGCGATCGGCAGCGAGGGGGGTCCCTGATGGGGCGGCGGGAGCGGCCCGGGCGGGGTGGGCGAAGGCCACGTGGAGGCCCCTGAAGCCTCCGGTGATTCCCCCCCCACATTCACCCCGTTCTTGGTGATCTCCCTCCCGGTAACGCGGATTCCAAATTCCCCCCCCTGGTGCCGCAGGTGCTGGTGATCGATGGGCGCGGGCACCTCCTGGGCCGGCTGGCGGCCATCGTGGCCAAGCAGGTGCTGCTGGGTGAGTCCGGGACCCCCCCGCGACCCCCCGGGACACCCCCGGGACACCCCGAGAGCCCCGGGACACCCTGAGACCCCCGGGACCCCCCGAGCCCCCCCCGCGCCGTGATGAGCCCCTTTTTGGCTGTCGAGTGTCGCCGCAATGAGAGCCGCCTTCATGCACTACCAGCTGAGCGCGGGGGGCACCTCGGGGGTCCCCCCGGGAATGGGGAAATCCCGGGCCCAGCCCTGACCCTTCCCCTTTTCCCGGACCCCCCCCTTTACCCTCCCCTCCCCAGGGCGCCGCGTGGTCGTGGTTCGGTGCGAGGGGATCAACATCTCCGGCAACTTCTACCGCAACAAACGTGAGTTTTTAAGGATTTTTAAACCCTCCTGTGGGTCCCAGCGAAATTCCCGGGCGTTCCCGGCACTCTGGATCCGGGAAGAGGATTTTTTAACCCCCTTTTTCCCCCTCCCCAGTGAAGTTCCTGGCGTTCCTGAGGAAGAGGATGAACACCAACCCCTCCCGGGGGCCCTTCCACTTCCGCGCCCCGAGCCGCATCTTCTGGCGGACAGTGAGGGGTAAATGAGGGTCGGGGACCCCCCCCCAAACTTGGAGGCACCCCCTGAGCCCCCCCTGACCCCTCTGTGTCCCCCCCAAATCCAGGGATGTTGCCCCACAAGACCAAGCGGGGGCAGGCGGCGCTGGAGCGGCTCAAGGTGTTCGACGGGATCCCCCCCCCCC